AGTACTGTGACACTATGTCCATGCTGTTCAATTCTTAGCTCTCCCCTTGATACAAATCTGGCTCATGCCAACTAGCACTCTTCCAGAGGCTGCAGGACCTAAATGCAATGAAAATTTCTCTCCTCACTTTAAGGGTAGAATGAACAAATATTTAGGTATTATTCATGCTATCGCATAATTATATTTTATTTTTCTTTCCTAATGCAAATATCATGTTTTATAACTATTCCTTATAAAGGTGTTGCCAGGAGTGTGCTTAATAGACTTTGAGGTTAGTTTATATTATTATTAGAGCAAGCTATTTTGATTCAGACTGTGTGTCCATTATATTCAGTATTTTATACTGATGCCCATTCTAATAACACTGTTAGATTTGTTGTTAGTGATAATTTCTCCATTTTAAAAACTGAAGGCTTTTAGGAGGGGATTCTTCATTAGGGGAGAGTTTCAAAATACTTTGGGTAATTACAGAATATAGGGATCCAAGAGCTATTGCACTTAAGGCTGACTTTACTGCATTGGCATCACTCCTGTTGACTTCCTTGGCATCAAAATCTTGCCCAGGAATTCTCTTGCTGTGAGTGTCTTACTGGAAACCAATTTGCAGCTGTGGTTTAAGGCCGCTGTCAAATCTGTTGACATGGGTTCTCTATAACTATGTGCTACGGAGTTATGAGGCTGAGCTGTGTGTGGCCTTTGGTATCGAGAGTACAAGACAGCATGATCTAATAAGCTAAGCAGAGACCTAACACGCAGAAGTTGCATATCCTGATTGTGCTTTTGGTTTCCGAGAAGTCAGTGAAATCCTAGATTTGTCAAACTCCATGGCAAAACATCCATTCATGTTGAATTTCAGCTATATCTTTTCTGCGTTGGGTGTCTTTACATTGCATTAGTAGATTCCTTGCATTTGTGCCTGCAAAGTATATTTACTCTGTGGCAGACTGCTGAGAAACTATTTTGTTTTGGAATGCCAGCAGAATTTTTAAAACAAGCCAATAAAATGTGGATTAGCGTATCACAAAAGGTATTTACTCAAGATTTTTAAAGGAAGCCAAACATAAAATTGCTGAGTAACTCTGGGCTGCTTCTTAAGTTGGCCTTTTTGCCAGAGAAATGGGGGGTTACAAATAAGATACGATTTTTGAAAAGGTGACCAGTGAAACACAAGGAATGGAGTCCCCCAGGGATCTCTTATTGGACCTGTGCTCTCTCACATTTTCACCAGTGGTCTGGAAAAAGGGGTGAGGAGAAATAGGTGGCAATACGTGTTGACAATACCGAATTCTTCGGGGTAGTGAAAAATTAGCTCTGGACAACAAGCATTGCAGAAAGTTCTCATTGGTAGTGTGTAATGCTGATAAAACAGTAGACAAATTGAAGGTCACTAAATAAAAAACAATGAATGAATTGGAGGGGGAAATGATGCTAAGAATGCACAAATAGCAGTGTGCTCTAAATTAGGTGTTTATTGCAACTATGGAAGGATATATTGTAATCATAAGAGATATTTCTGAAACTGTGAACTGTGGCAAGAAGGCAAATAGAATGTTAACAATCTTTAAAAAAGCAACAGAAAACAAAACAAAGCATCATTTGCAGATGTATAAATCCATACAGTGCCCTCAAGTGTTGTATGCAACTGTAATTTCCTTCCCCTGCATCTCAAACGGGTATTATTGACCTTTTCAGAGTGAAGACAAAGTTGAGCATTAAAATATAGATTATTATTATTATTATTATTATTATTTTATTTTTTAAACCTGTGTAAGGACAAGGACACTAGACTAGACTAGAATTAAATAGATTAAGGTTCTTCAGCTTGGGAAGAGATAAGTGGAGAGGCAGAAGTTATTTAAGTACATAAAATTATGAGTTGTGTAATTGGTTGAGTAGGAAAGCTGAACAGCCAACAATGGTCAAAGTAAATTGTCAAATGAAATTATCAGGTAATTTTATAATTACAAAAGGAAATACTTTTTTTTACAGATTAAATCAATTATCAAAATTCACAATTCATTTCCACAGTATTTGTGGGTTCAAAAATGATCATCAAATTCATAGTTATCCCCTGATGACTATTAAATGTGATAACACAATCTCAGGCTCATGAAAACTCAAAGCCACCAGTTGCTGGAAGTTGGGAGAATATACTGAGGAAAGTATCATTTTCTATTTTTGTTTTTAGAATCTTTGCCTAATTATCTGCTACTTAGGATTGCTACAGTTGAGGTATGGAGCTAGATAATATACTGTCTACTACAGGTGTTATTACAGATAATAATATACTTGTGAGTCTACAGTTCAGCAGAGCACCCAGTGTGTAACTAGTGATCTCTGAATAATTTCAGGCATTTGTAGATCTGCTGTATTTGATTTTGGTGCCAGCAACAGCTAAATTACATCTGTCTTCACTGCCTAGGTGCTTTAAATGCACAGTCTCCAATTCCACCTCTTTCTTCTCAAAAAAAAACTTTATGATATCATGTAAAAAGCCAACAGTAATGTAATGCAAAATGGCAATTAACCATTCATCCACTGACCATTTAGGTTGGCCGAAACTGTCGATCTTCCTCATGATGTTCAGTCAGTCAACCGTACCCCAATGCTTGGATTTGAAGTGCTGCACAAAAGCATCCACATTACTGCTCTCCAGAAGCAGCAAATCTACTTCTTTTAGTTATTCCAACCCTGAGACTCTTTCTCTACTTTTTTGTGGGACTCTAGGGATGGTTGAAATGCTGTTTGTTTTCCTCACTTTAGTTTTTAGACAAGATGTCACTGTAATTTTTTGAATTTGTTCTCCCAGCCTTGTACTAACCTTGGGCTATTTCAAGACTCTTGGTTTTCTTCATTCATAGACTGGAGAATATGGGTCACAGTCTGACCCTGCATTCTTAGTACTTTACTACTATTGGTGTCGTTTACTACTTTTTATAACAGAAACTAGCTGTTTGTATTAAGGATAGTAGGTGACAGTGGTTACGTGTTTAAATACATATGTCATACTGACTGCATAAAACAGCAGCAGCTGAAGTGAGAGTTCCACAACAGAAGAGTTTTATTGTGGAAGAAGAGTTTTGCAATGCAGGAGTCTGACATGAGCTTCCCTATTCCTTTACCAGTAAGATATGTAACAACAAAATGTTTCTTAATAAAACTGACAAACAGAATCATCATGCTAATTCTCTCCTCTGGGCTCAGGTGCATTGTCACATCATCACAGCTTGACAAGCTACAAGGACAATTGAATTGCCAGAGATGACCATAAGTATGCTCTTAGCCCATGGCAAATGAAAGGTAGTATGACTGAGCTTAATCCTTGATGGAATACTGTACCTTGTCACTGTGTGCACACAGCTGTTGTGGCTCACGTGAAATATGACTTGACCAAGTACTTAACTCATCCTCATAAAATGTTTTTCATGGTGAATAGGTTGCCCTGAAAGAGCAATTAGCTTGAGGTTGGAGTGCATGTGTAACATTGCTTCAAAGGTCTACCCTCACATAGTGAGAGCCAGCCCTGCATGCCCTCCTTCTCAGGGCAATAAGTCTTTCCAAAGCCTAAATGTGTTTCTGTTCAGACCTACCAGCAATTTTTTCCTTTTTGGGTTTCCTTCAAAATCTTTATATTCTATCTTGTGCCCAACACCTTTTTTTCTTTTTTGTTTTTTCTCTCTCTCCCAAGAAAACTTTGTGAATCCAGGATTGGACAGCAAGTTACTACTGAAATAAAAATCTTTTGAGGATAAAGGCATTTTAGTGCAGTATAAAGATCAATAATACTCTAGGTCTGACAAGTACTGTGAATTTGCAGTTGTTCTTAATATCACTATTCTATTTCAGCTTGCTGCATTACATAAATAGATAATCAACTTTTTTTAGTTCATCCATCCCACAGGCAGCAATGTATTAATGGTATTTCTTCATATGTTGGTAGTCTTGCTTTATAATATGCCCAAAATTTTCTTGTGTCTTTTTTTTTTACAGAGGGCACTATTTTTTCTTGATTACATTTTGTTATTTTCGAATTGGCAAGTTAGCTGTTACTAGACAGTAACTGTAAATGCCATCATATTTTGCAGAAATAAGGGAGTTACCTCTCTTCCAAAGAATAATCTGCTAAGCCTACTGAATATAAGTTGGTTTGAGAAGATTGCAACTGAAAAACTTAGCTTCTTTAATTTGAAATTGGAAATTTTAGAGTATTTTTAAGACAAAAGATTTTGTCCACACAGGGTTGTAAATTTCTAGACGTTGCTCACAATAGGGTCGCTTATTCCAACAAGCAGGGTGTCTGTGTGTCTCTCCACTTCCTTTTTTTTTTTTCCCTCCTCTTTTTTTCTTTTTTTTTTTTTTTTAAGTACCCTTAGAAGTATGAAAGAGGTCACTGAAAATATGATTAAAAGCATCTGTGAAATCAGAACAAAACTAGAAGGCTGGGATCATAGCTGTTTTGAATACCTCCTCAGATCTGAAGAACATCATGGTAAAGGTGCCCTATTTTAGACAGGATTTGTTGTATGTAGGTTAGTTGCTGCAATGGGTTACACAAGACTTCCAGAAGCTGTCAGGTGCGGTGTAGGTGAGTTTTTAATGCTGCCCTTCCCTTTTTATAGCTCTGTCTTGCAAGAACAGAGTATCGTGGTTTCCATTTAATCACCTTTGAAATAATTGTCCAATTACACAATAACACATTGCCAATCTTTCACAAGTTTCACATGTTTCAAAATAGACAAGGGAGTGGTGTTGAAGACACCTGCAATTGAGGACATTGGTGGAGAGGAGAGAAATGGAAGATACTTGCAGTGGTCAGTAACAACTGCAGCGTTAAAGGTCCTCCTCTTCAGGTATAAGTTGCATCAGCTGATACAACATGAGGTCTAAATGTCTCTCCTAATTTGTGGCGTATTAGAGAAAAAGATTTGCCTTGAGGTCTAAGGTCTAAGCTTTGATGAGATGAAATGTATTAACCAGAGGTTTCTGTTCTATATTTTCAGAAGAATGGCATATCAAATGGAACTCTCTACAAAAAAACATTTATTGAGCACTTTGAACAGGCACCAATGTATGTTGCTGTTCTTACTTTCCTGGGTTTTGGAGTGGGAACAATATTTGGCTACCTGCGAGATTTTATGAGAGCCTGGGGACTAGAAAAACGTAACATTGCTGCAGAGAGAGAACAACAAAAAGTATGTATGAAAAAGACATTATGTATCCACAGCTGAGTTTTCCCCTGCTTGCAAGTTATTTACAATAACCTACCGAAGTAACAAGGCAGACAACTTTCATCTTAGAGAAGAACATTGCATAGGGATGAGAGGAATGACACGCACTGCAGTATAGTTAAACGCATGTGTATGAATATGTACTTATATATTTGTAAAATCATAATTTAACCCAGAGAGATGTTCACCTTGTTCTAAGAGTGTCAGAATACTCTCAGCAAAAGAGAATCTCAGTGTATTAGGTCAATCCACAGAAAAAGAAAACTCAGAAATGCCTTCTTGTTAAATATATCATCTCTCCAAATCTCTTAAACCCCAATTTTTCTTTGTCCCATCTGGCTGTCTTACTTTGTCCTTCATAGCGATAGGCAGTGCTAACATCTTCGTAATTGCTGGCTTATGTTTGCTGAACTGCTGGTCACAGGGCACTCAGGAATCATTGTCCCAGCACAAAGTGAGTGTAGCCTGAATTCTTGCGAGTCCTGACTTAGAAATTTTTTCATCCCACGTAGTTCTAAGTGAAACTTTCACCTCAGCAAGCTCAATTGCCTTCTAACTTTGTTTCGATTTTTTTGTTGCTCCTCCTTCTCTGTGCAGTTTGAGCCATCATTTACAATAACACCTGGCATTATGGAGGAAAAATGGGAATAGTGTTACTGTTCCTCTTACAAATGAAATTCCCAAAATTGTTTCCTGTTTTGGCTTTTCAAAGATGCATGCACTACTTAATGAAATATCATGGTGCAGTCTTTTTATCAGCATCCTCATGGAATACCCTTTTCAATTTCACTTCATGATTTGGCCATTTGTTGAGCTATTTTGATTCCAGACATGCCAGTTAAATCTTTTTGCCATCCACCATGGATTACGTTTTCATTTAATTCTCCAGTCTCCCACATATGTAACTACATGCCATGTTATTTTATCAGTTTATTGTATCCATTGTCTAACACGGCTATATTGATGTTTCATATAAAACTTTGTTAGATTCCATACCTTTCTTTTAATTTAATTTCCAAGTAAAATCCATAGATAGAAATTAATTGTCAACCAAACTAGTTGTCTTAACTGGCTGTTTGCATGTCCAGTCTAGGCCAATAATGCCCAGATCGATTACATTGGACTAGCTTTAATCTAACGTATCCAGCATTTCGTGAAATATAATGAGTTGTTTATCCTAGTTTTGCAATCTGCTCCACACATAGCAAAATGCTCAATTTGAAGCATTTGCTTTCTCCAAGTGAAAGAATCATGAATTCTTCCGTTTCCAACTTTCCAAATATGGGACTGGAGAATTAGGCCAACTTGTTCACCATTTTAAAAAAAAAAAAAACAAAACCCAAAAAACACCCCCTAAAAAAGCCAACACTGTATTTCAAGGGAATTAAAGTAAGATATTTGCTGATTGGAGTTGTTTGTGACATAGGAACATGTGGCTGTTATAGCTCTCTGTTTACTAATGAATCGTTTTTTCCTTTTTAATGCGAATGACTTGGGTACAGAAGCAGACATTTTCCTAGCAACATAACCCTGTGCATGTTTTCAAACCAGGATTTTGTGCCACTTTATCAAGATTTTGAGAACTTTTACACCAGAAACCTCTATATGAGAATACGGGATAACTGGAATCGTCCAATTTGCAGTGTCCCAGGGCCACAGTTTGACCTCATGGAACGCGTTACAGATGATTACAACTGGACATTTAGGTGAGTCAGATTACACTCTACAGCTGTCAGCTTCATAAGAATACTCCTGATACATCCGCAAAGCACAGAAAGTTGCATCTAGCCCCTCATACCTAGATCCTCGATGAATATACATGAGCATATTTATTTCCGAAATCAGTACCGTGCTGACGATCTGTCCCCTTTCTTCTGAATATTGTTTGGAAATGCAGTAGTGGAAGGGACTGAACTCTGCCACAGATGGGTTTTGTTCGGCTGTGTCAGCACAAGTAAGACTGCTTATACTTCATTTATAACAACAGAACTTTAGTCAGAACATTACAACAAAATTTGTTGTATCCATTGGTTAGGATTTAAATCAAAATTTCTTACATTGCATAAATGTGGTTTCTTACTTATGTAGTGAGTCTTTGGCAGTGAGTTTTAAGCAGTTTACAGCTTGAAGATTTCAGTGTTTTTGCAACTGTTACTGAATTAAACAGGTATGGAAATTCACCACACAGACAACATGTAGGTTGACTATATTTCAGCTTATTGAGCTTATCATAGTGTTTCCCACAACGTTTTCCTCATGTTTAATTTCTGCATGTGTGTGAACACTGATGACTTTGTGGAAGCTGTTGACAATTTGCTTGAAAAAATAGTGTCTATAAGTTGTTCCTTAAATAAAACCCTAGGTTGGTTTGTTTATTTAAATCTATAAAAGCACCCTTTCACCTAATACCAGTATATTGCCATCTACAGCTTGGAATCTGGAAAACGTTCTGAGCAAGAAACAGCATTTAGTCAGGAAAAGAGAAAGGCTGGAAAAACTTTTGGGATGTTAAAGTATGAGGATTGTAAATTCCCAAATAGGAATTTGACAGTGAAACAAAATTTGGTGGGAAAATTTTTTGGTTTTTTCTTTTCTTTTTGGGGGGGTTGGAGGGAAAGTTGCACTATTCTTTAAAATTTGCTTTAATTACAGGTTTACAGGGAGGACTATCAAGAATGTAATCAATATGGGTTCTTATAACTACCTCGGCTTTGCAGAAACGGATGTTAATGCTTTGAAAACTGTGACCAGAGAGTTACAAAAATACGGGACAGGAGTCTGCAGTACCAGACAGGAAATGGGTGAGTAAACAGCTAGATGGCCACCAAAGTTTCTGTAACTATATGCTTTTTCTTACAGATATCTTGAAGGAATTGGATACTTAGAGAATTTTAGTCACATCAATGATTACTTGTTTCACTATTAAAAGTGATGTGTTTTATTCATTATCACATAAGGTTTTTTTAAAAAGGAAAAATGTTATTGATTTTTGGAAAAGCAAAAACAAATGTGTCATACAGTGGCCTGGGATTCTTAATGATGGAAGTTACAGGCTTATTTTTTAAAAGAAGGAAAATAAACATTGAGACTTCAAGAATTGTTCTAGGGCAAATTTAATTGCATCACATATTTCTATCAGTTACCACATACAGAGTGTTCTGATTAGTAAAATGAGCTTTTACATATTTTTTTTAATCCCATGTTCTAAGAATATATTGTAATGTTTTATGAGGCATTAATGGGCACCACATAGAAATTTCTAGTGTGCCTCTAAGGAATAAATTCAGGAAGGCTCCATCTGACTTTTTTGGTTTATATGTTCTTTATGATTTGTCTGCTTTTTTGGTTTGTAGGCTGCATGTAGTGTTATCTTCAATTGTATATTTTTACACAAAGCCTTGCATTCCTAATGGTGCAATCAGCCTGCATTTTAGAGAAAACAATTTTGAGCCATAGAAATGAAAGGGGAGGGTTCTCTTCAGGCTTTATCTTTCTTGGGAGCCATCAAAAGAAAAAAAAAAAGGTAGGCTTCCCAGCATGGAGAAGTCTTTTATAGACTTTTTTTTTTCCCTTAATCCAGCAATCTGAAAAATTTTCATTTTGTACCTCTCAAAGCAAACTCTCTTCCTCCAGAAATCTTATGGAAAAAAATATTGTATTTCTTTTGGTTTTTTTATTTAAAGTTTCATTTCCAGACAAAAAAAATAATGCAAACCTTGTCATCTGCTTTTTATCTTGTCATCATGGTTTGATTTGCCAATAGAAAACATGTCAGTGACACCACTCAGAGAGGGTTTACAGATTGACCCTACTTTCCTTTTGTAGGTGACCCATCTGGTGACTGCAATATATAGTTTAACCTGAATTGCATGCTTGAAAGTGGTCACCATTACTAGTCATCTAAGGTATTGAAGGAACATTTCTCTGTGTCTTTTTCTCTTGGATTCTGTTTTGTCTGAAAACATTTCAAGTTGTTTTCAGTATGTCAAAGAATATGCCTGGTGTTCCTCATTCTTTATCTTTTGCGGAATTTTTTTATACAGAAGATTTGCATAACTTTGACTTATTCTCAAAAAAAAAATTATGAAAAGATTGATTCTACCTTCAAATATGAAAAACTTTATTAGTTAACTTCATCTAGTCTGTTTTGAGAGCCAATGTATACAGATTTCTGGGACTTTCTCTTCATCTGAACTCCTGTGCAGTACTCAAAGTTATCTTGACAGATTGAGCAAAGTTTTAGATTCATTCTAATTGTGTTCACAACAAATAGTCCCATGAACTTCATTCAGACTATTCACAATGCAAGAATGGGCTACAAATAAAGAACATTGTACAAGTCTTGTCAGTATCAGTCTTTTAGGGAATGAATTTCAGAGAGCAGCTTGGACATCAAGACTTATTAAAATAGGAAAGCAGGGTGTTAAGACCTGGCTTAGATGGTGTAGATGAGTAGTCACAGCATTTTGTCCTAGGCAGCTAACAGAGAGCCTGTGCTTGTGTAGTCAGTGGAGAGAGAGGTTGCTCCACAGAGCAATTCTGAGCAATGGTTACTTCATTGGCCCTGGCTCTGTTGGAGCCTGTCTACTACCAAGAACTGTATGAACAACCGAAGGAAAATAGCTTCATATTAGTAGTGTGGATACCCTCTTTTCTTGTTCCTTTACCCTCTTGTGCTGCCTAAGCTCTATTCTGGTTCACAGTTGAGCAGATTTGAAAAATTCTATCCGAGTTAAATATATGTACACATATACTTTCAAGAGAGAGGTAGGGAAGGGTCTGTATGAAAGGTCTTACCTTTTTTAATTATCATTTGTCATCTTCATCTTAGAAAAATAGAACAGAATGGTTTTGTTCCTGGGCAGATAACATTTCAAAACTTTTGTTGTTACTGTGTGGCTGAGCTAAAGCGGTTTGAAGTAAAAATGCAGTGAACAGTAGGAGCCAAGGCTCCTAATCCAGGGGTCCTAATCCAAGAGAGCACTTGAACATATTTATAATTTCAAGCCAATTGACTTTGAAAGTACTGTTCTGTTTATGTGCATTTAAGTGTGTGGCATCTTCGGGGTTTTGCCAAGATCTCTCTCAAAGCAGTGATAGGTCTCTCTTTTTGAGAAGGATCGTTCCACTACTTTGAGAAGATTTCAGAGAGAGGGGAAAACAAAGAAGAAACAAATAAAATTAATGCAAGTGATGTTTGAAAGAATACATGATGGTAAAACTGTCCTTTGTGGTCTTCTGCCTAAAATCCTTCTCTCATAACTGTGCAGACTGTGGAGCGGGTATAAAATGCTGTCATATCAGAATGTTGTTGCAGGTAGTTTGCTCTCAGAATAAGTTAATACAGACATTTTAACATGGTTGTTTATATCTTTACAAAACTGCGTTTTATTAAGGAAACTTAGTGAAGCTAAACCTTGTTAAAGGTAAAACAGTTATTCTACATTCCAAGAAAAGTAACTTTAGACTGTGTGTAAACGCAGTTGAGAAATTAACTTCAGCGAGAACTGTGAAGCTCTGCTTATGCTTTCTCTAAAATAGTAATGCACATGCCACTTGAACAGACATTCCTGTTTAAGCACTAAAGCATAGCAAACTGATAAAAACAGGGGCTGGTCTTCCTAGATTTGTCCTCCATAAAAAGATTTAAGGCTTTTCACTCCATTTTTAATTCCATGCTCTTTTTAAATTATAATAATAATAAATAACTTTCTTAGCATAACAGTGCCATTTAAGACATATTCCTGAGGCTTTTGTGGGACTTTCAATCTGAAAGAAAAATATTTTCCTTTTTTTAAGACCAAGCTAACTTTTAACCCTTAGGATAAAGATCTTGGGGTTATAAGTGGTAGTTCTCTGAAAGCATTAGCTTACTGTTCAGTGGTCAGAAAGCAAATCAAATACCAGAAATTATTAGGAAGTGAACAGAAAGCCAACCACAGAACCTCAGTATGCTACTGCATAAAGCTGTGGTTTGCTCTCACCTTGAGTAGTCTGTGCAGTTCTGGTCAAAAACATTTAGCAGAACTGGAAAGTGTCAGAGAAAGGCAACAAGGATCATCAAAGGCCTCAAACAGCTTCTGGGAGAAGAACTATTGAGCTAGCTGTCTTCAGCTGTCAAAAATGCTTGTCATCTGGCTCAAAAAGAGCCTAAAGGGGGAAATTATAGAAATGTTCAAAACTATGAGTGACGTGGAAGAGTGGTCAGGATTGGCTGTTCATTGTCGGAATGAACATTCATTGATGGAAGGTTTCCATCTAAATACAGGAGGCAGCTCTTCACGTTGGAGGCTGGCAGACCCAAGGAGCTCATTGCAAAGAAGGCTGCAGATACTAAAACTTTACACTCCCTTGCATTCTAGGGAACACTGGCCACATACAGAGGAGAGATCATTGCTAGTTACTAGAAACACCAAAACTATTATCTGATTCAGGATGTCCTTATGCTGAAATTAGTTAGAAGCTGGGATACTACTATATATATGTTTGTCCTGCTTTCATTCTTCCCAGCATCGATACAAGACCACTGTCAGATGAAGGATTATGGGCAAAAGAGACCTTTTGTGTGGCACGGTGCATCTAATACTAGTGGTTTAACATTATTTTATGCAATTAGTTGTTTAGTATTAATTTATATTATTACCTATATGCCTTTGGCCATTGCTGTACAACCATTAATACTGGACCTGTGGACTAGCAAATCATCGTACAAATTTGGCTTGAATCAGGAACATGCACATACTCATATTTTTATAAAGTTGGGCAGTATTTACAATAGAGGTAGGATATAAGGAACCAATGAAGCAGTAACCTGGCTGTTTTCAATGTTTCTGAGGATACTAAGATTAAAAAGACATTAAGGGAAGACACTTAAAAGAGATCACCAAGAAAGAGTTGCACATATGATTGGGGCATATCTTCTAAGAGCAGTAGCTTGGGTGAATGTGTGAAAGTGGTTGCTTGCAGACGGTAGGCAGAAGGCAAAAAACACTGATATCATGGTCTGCTTAGAGGTGAAAGACTTTTCGGTTCTGTGTGGTACATGGGATGGAAGTAGTCCCTGAAGGATCTTGGCAGCGAAAATCTAAGCATAAGTAAGATCCTGCAGAAAATTTCAGAGCAACTGGAGATGTAGAATGAGGACCCTCTTGGTCAGAGGGACAGGCTGGGAGGAACAATAGGACCATTCACCTAGAATGGTAAGAGTATTCTGAGCACGTCTGAGAATGGCAAGGTTAAACTTGCTGAAGCCAGAGGAAAAGATGCTGCATTAACTGTGTGAGGTGTCAAGGGAGGATACAGAGAGATCTGCACCTGCCATATCTGACAAAACTGACCATGGGTGTAATTTAAATTAAAACAGCTTTTGTCAGCAGCAATCTCTCCTGCAGGTGCAGAAAAAGTCAAATTTTTTTTATTTCTTTGGCTAGTTCATTATAAACCAAGAAAGCAACTGGGACATGAAAAAGCAGGAAGTTTTGTTTTCCAGGAATAAATGTTGGGTCTGAGACAATAATTCTTAAATGTTGAAGGATTTAAGTAACTGGAAACCAGCTGTTCAGGTAACTGGAGTACTCAGAATGTTAGGGTATTTCATGTAAACTACCCCCAGAAAATCTCTATACTATGTTTTATTTATGTTTTACTTATTTTAATCTTCCTCTCAAAAGCGTTATTTTTTATCTTAATAAAAAATGCTAACAAATAGGAATCTAAATAAATTCGAAATAGCATGTGTTCCCTCTATATAGTGAAAAGAATGACAACTTGAATGTGAAGTCCGTTTTTCCCATGCAAATCA